ACACACACACACACACACACACACACACACACACACACACACACACAAAGAAGCAGGTGAGGAGACACTCCTTTTCTTACCTGGTAATTCAGGAAGATGAACCAATCCTGGACTCCCTGGCTTTCCTTTATTTCCACTTGATCCAGGCTGGCCTGGGGTCCCAGGGAGGCCTCGGGACCCTTTAGGGCCTGAAAACCCAAATGTAAGCGGTGAGGGGAAAGGAAAGTCAGTGTGCTGGGTATGATTTGTGATGTTCAGTCACGAATCCCAGTATCTTGGAGAGCCTCTCCTCATCTCACCTCCCCACACTGCCCTCTCCAGCAGCCATCCTGTTTTCTCAATCCTCAAGGCTGCCCTCAGGAGGAATGTGGATCCCCAAATACTGCTGGGCTATCCTCTGCTTCCTTTGCCTCATGGCCCTTACGAGAGTGTTTAGTGGCTTTCTCTGGCCTCATTCCATACCTGGGAATCCGGGAGTGCCTGGAAATCCTGATGGACCGTATGACCCAGGAATAATACACGGCAGGGTGATTCCTGTAAATGGTAACACGTATGCATTCAGTGAACCCACTGAGTCAGGGAAGATTTCTCCCTAGTACGCTCCTTTACTTCTATTCCATTTAATGGGACAGCCAAGTTCTTCCCACTCAGCAGCTGGGAGCCCACATAGGAAAACCTTGGCATCATTAGCTCTGGGGAGTTACACCCAGTACAATTGCTTACAGATGAGAATGCTCCTAGTGTCCAAATGCTAGGATATCACTTATCAAACCACTGAGGCCCAGTGGGCAAACAGTCACCTATGCAGCAGATGTTGCCTAACAAGGTTTCTTAGAGATTGCCTGTGCAGGAACAGCAGCAAACAGCAATTGCCTACTCACCCTGCCCACAGATAGAGCCTCTCCCTAGGATGGGTGTTGGGGGTTAGTCCTAAGGGTGCATTATGCTTATATGACTAGATTGGAGGGTTTGAAGCCAAGATCCCTCAAGTTCTCACGTTTACCCTTTCTTTGGAATGAGGTTTTCCCCAAACCACTGGGTTCTTTTGATGCACTTCATTTGGGATCTACTGAAACCTATTGATTGTCCTTGCTCAAATGTACCAGTATGTCTGTACTATGCAAACACTTAAGACCGCTTTCTTGTCCATGACAGGCAAGTGGTGACCCTTTCCTCAGCTCCTTATTTGAAACTGTCAACTCTGCTACTCAAAGAGAAAAAGTAGCAATTTCAACATTCAAGATGTCAAAATTGGCATGCATAGCCCTTCCCCTAGCAAATTCTCCCTTGCCCATTCATAATGCAAATAAAAAGAGTCTATAAGATCACAGAGGGGAGGTTTAATAAAATACTGGTGAACAAATTGTTTGCGGGCTCCCTCAAGTGCCATTTACAAACAATTGATATGCTAATTATATAAGTCTTGCCTATTCATTGAAACAATCCCCCAAGGTCTGCTTTAAACTACAGAGTCAACAGTTTTAATAAACATCTATAGCTTTTGCCTGTATTTAAATCACAAATTACATTTCTGAAAAATATGTACACAGCCTATGATTCAAACTGCTTACTGAACTCACTGGCTTTCCTCCCCTGATCCCACTTCTATTTTCCTAAATCAAGATTGGGAATTGAACAGTATAATGTATTGGTTAACAAGTTGGACTCTGAAGCCACAGACCTTAGCTGGTATCCTAGTTCTGCTGCTAACCAGCTGCATGAACAAGATACTTAAACCTCTCTGAGCCTCATGGCAAAATGGGAACTACTTCTACTTTTCTCATATGGTGTTTGTGAGGATTACATGAAACTGTGCTACTAGCACTTAGCACAGTGTCTAGCACTCTGGTACATGCTCAATTAATAATAGTTCTTATTATCTTGAACTATTATCTTATGTAAGAATGAGTACTCAGTGAAGCTCCTGCAAGGCCATCGCCAGGTTAGTGACACTGCTTGTAGTCTGGGTAGCACTTTCTGCCTTCCAGACTTCAGGTTTCTATAGTCATATTTCCAGAGGTGAACAGATGGCTGTAGGCCTGCATCCTCCTCCGTAGGTGGTCAAACCCACCTCCATCCTACCAGACATCAAGATGACAGAGCTATTTCTGATAGTTATTTCCCTACTATGGAAATATGCTCTACAGGCCAGCACTTTGTGGTGAGATGCTTCATTGGGAGGGGGTTTTCAACCTTGTGCTTAGCTCAGGCCTGGGCTCTTTGAGTTAGGCTGAAGAATTTCCTCCAGAGGGTGTGTCATGAGAGGGATCCTGCAAAAGACTCTCCTGTCCTCAACAATCTCAATAGCCCATTGGCTCTAATGTGTCAAACTCTAACATGACAGTTCCATTGTTTTATGTCTTAGGAAACAAACTTAGTAAAATAAAAATATCCCTGGGCTGGGTCCAAATATTAAGCCATTCATCCTTAATTTATCAGACTGATTTAATTGCTTCTTTTCATCTGTGACAGCCAGATAAAAACAAAGCCTTCAGAAGATGAAGCTGAGGACAGGCATCTGGAAAGGTTCCAGGATAAGAAAAATAATGGTCAAAGGAAAGATGGTTAGAAACCAGAGGAAATCAATGGCATATTTCTCTCAATAATTTTGTCTCACACCTGTGTGCCACACCACACTTGTGTATTGTAAGCAGAGGTTCAAAATGGTGAGACGGAAGGACTTCAAGTCATACTGGTATCTGGCTCTTTTCCTTTATACTGTCTTCTACTTTACATTCCTGAATTCGGAGCCTTCTCAACAAAGCAGAAATCTGCTCTACCCATGTTCTGTTTAGTAATTGCAACAAATGAGCTACTTATTCACAATTTTTCCCATTAATGCCCAAATCCATTTTCAGAATAAAAAGAGTCTCTGGTTCCCAAGATTCTAACATCTCAATTTGTTCTGGGCCCAATGAGTAAAGTTCAGACATGTGTGGATCCTTTCAGGTACCTCTCAAGGCAGATTATGGCCCCAGTAAAGTTCAGAAAATGAATTTGCTTAAGATGGAGGTCAGCCAAGCCATCGACATGCATGGTGAAGGAAATCAGCCCCTCTCAGAGACTGCATGCCCACTCAATCCTGTACTGCCTGCTGTAAGAGGTATGTGCTAAGGAGCCTCTGAAGCAGTGTTGGTGTCAGCCTTTGCATCCCAGCCTTAGGCTCCCTGCTCCCCAAACAGGGCATCCAGTGTGGTGCTCAGGCCATCGTGACTATCTGAGACAAAGGTAAACAAAAAAGGGATGTTTGGCTAAGACCGGTGTCTGAGAGCTTGTAGACCTAGCTAGCTCTCACCTCTCTCTGTGTTTAAGTCTCCTTTACCAACCTTCTCTCTGCAGCAGCAGTCACCTAGAGCAATCAAGTGAAGAAAAAAATTAAACCGGGACAGAAGTTCCTTGAGGCCCAAGGGAAGTCTTCTCAGCAGCCCAGATATGCCCACCAACAAAATCCCCTGTCTGAACTGAGTGGAGAGCACTGGCACCCACATGAGATCAAGCACACAGTCACCACAGTTCAGTAATAACCAGGGTGATTGATTATTATAAGCATCTGGGACAGAGCCTCTTTGGAAACAGCCAGTTGTCTGCTTGCCCAAAGTTTTTAATAATTCACACTAGTAGGCTGAAAGGCTTCTGATGATTACATCCTCTTTCCTGGCAATGCAGCTGTCCTAGTCTGGGCTACCATTGATTGGAGTGGGCACATTCAGGAATAGCATCTTAATTTTTTTTCTAGCAACAGAAATGGCTACAATGCAAATGTTTGGGGACCACCGGGTTATTTGTTTTTAAAACTGTGCAGAAAAAAGGGTAAGTTTGAAGAATTATATTTGGTTGTCATAGAAAAGAAAGTTAACGCTCTTTATTAAAGTAATTTCTTGAAACTTTTCATACTGCAAGAAGGACATGGTTATGGTTTGAATATGATTTGTCTCCACCAAAACTCATGTTGAGACTTGGTTTCCAGAGTGGCTGTGTTGGGAGGTGGTGCTTCTGAGAGGTAATTAGGTTGTTAGGATGGGTTAATCTCTTTCTCGGGAGACTGGGTTATTTCTCAAGGGAATGGATTCGTTCCCACAGGAGCAGGCTGTTATAAAGCAAGGTTGCTTTTAGTGTTTGGACTCTTTTGCATGTACTCTTCTGCTTTCCACAATGAGCTGAAGAAGCACAAGGCCCTCAACTGATGGGCTGCCCAATCTTGGACTTTCTGGCCTTCAGAATCATGAGCTATATAAACCTCTCTTCTTTGTAAATTACCCAGTCTCAGATATCCTGTTGTAGCAACAGAAAATGGAATAAAACAAACATTTTCTGCATAAGGCATCTCCCAAGCTATAGCTTACCATATCATATTGCTAAAAATTTTCTGTGTCCAGGGACTAGTGATATTTGGGATACAAATGGTCCTGCAAGCTTCCTTCTGTTCACTCAGCAGGTTCTCAAATAGTTAAAATGTTGATAATAGTCAGAAGACTTGGAAGTGTGTAAGTTTATAAGTGTCATGTTATTATAACTCAGTTTAAAACCTTGTTGCTTGCAAAACGGTTTAATCTACAGTGAAGACCCAATTAGGGGAGGAGCAGTGGAATGACCATGAGTAATGTTTCTGGGAACAGAGCTAGAAGCAAAGCTATAGCTAACACTAGGACTTCCAACAGGCAGAATGATTTTATTTGATAAATCCTTATGGCCAGGAGCAGAAGTTCACATCTGTAATCCCAGCATTTTGGGAGGCTGAGGCACGTGGATCACTTGAGGTCAGGAGTTTGAGACCAGCCTGGCCAACATGGTGAAAGCGTGTCTTTACTAAAAATACAAAAATTACCCAGGTGTGGTAGAGGGTGCCTGTAATCCCAGCTACTCAGGAGGCTGCGGCAGGAGAATCGCTTGAACCCAGGAGGCAGAGGTTGCAGTGAGCCAACATCATGCCACTGCACTCCAGCCTGGGTGAGAGTGAGACTTCATAAAAAAAAAAAAAAAAGGAAAACGTCTTTACAACCTTCACAATGATTAATTTGTTAAATGAAATATTGACTCAGTTTTAAGAATTTTGAATTATCAAGTTTTAACCTGTACCATCAACCTTATTACACCGAATCGCAAAAATAGATTTTGAAATAAATAAAATTTTGCAAGACCTGGTATCCTGTCTTCTTTTATTGTAATTCTTCAAGATGATAAGGTGGAAACAGGAGAAATATGTTTAAGAAATAGCCCCTTGGTTATTGGGAAGGCTCTTTCTTCTGCAAATAAATATTAGTCTCCTATGGAACACTGCACTATGCTAGGCATGTAAAGAGACTCTAAGAAGTATTACCATCCCTAGTATCAAGAGACTTACAATGCGGTTGGGGAAAGTAAAAGCATTAATGGAAGGAGATATATAATTTAAGTAGCAATGACATACTGTGGAGGCCAAGGGAAAGCTTAACGGAAGAAGTGGGGTTTATCTTGAACCCTGAAAGAGGAATATGATATGACTACACAAAGAGGAAGAGCACTCCAGAAAAAGGCAACACGGCAAAATGTTGAAGCTGGAAGTGAACACATTGTGTTTGGGTACAGTGAAGAAGACTGGTATCTTAGTTTTTTTGTTTCAATTAAGAGCATTATATAAGGTTGAAAAGGTTGGTTGTATCCATGTTTGGAGACTTCTGAATTCCAGGTTGAGGAGTTTGGACATTATATGATCTCTATTCAATTGGTACCATATGTGGCTTTGAACTAGGGGAGTTACATGATGATATTGGCACTTTACAGATTGGCTGCAGTGTTCATAATAGAATTGAATGTAAAAACTACTTAGGAAGTTGTTGTCATTCACTCACTTACCCATCCATCCATCCATCCATCCATCCATCCATCCATCCATCCAACCACTTATTCCAACAAGCATATAGGTATTTGAAAACCTAGGCATGACATAATGAGAGTTTAGTAGCAAGAAGAGAAGGAAAGAATATAAGAGGAATGGCAAAGGAAATAAGAGATAATCTCAAAATTTTAAACTTCAGATTATTATAAGTGTGGTGTCACTGATGGAACCATAGAAGTTGTGGAAACCCAGAAGTTGGGATGAACAGCTGTTCTGGCTGTATTGAAGACTAGTTATTAGCATAGCACCTTCATAAACCATAAGCAGGACTGTTACACATGATTCCTAAAATTCAAGTAGAAAAAGAAGTTATATAAAGAGGAAGGAGTTAAGGGATAAAATGCGGATTAGACTATATGCAACTAGATTTCTGCCCAATCTGAGATTCCATGAGTTGAGGAAAGGTTTTTCCCAGCTGATGATATTACCACACAATTTAGAGGGCACCTCGTCCAATCTCCCACCCATTGCTTTGATGACATTTGCAATAAGTGGTCATCCATCTTCTTCTTGAACTCTTCCAGGGATTATGAGCTCATAACCTCCCTTGGTAGCTCTGTTACATTTTCAGACTGCTTTGGTAGGAAGTCCTTCACTAAGTAGAGTGGAAATCTGTATTATTCTGTCCCCTAAGCTTACCACAATACAATCATAATACTTTTTTTCACATGCAAATCCCTCAGGGGGTTAAAAGTACTGATTATGGTGAGACAAGTCTCTTCTTATGATACATTTCATGCACCTGGGTCATATCCACTCTACAAGGGGTCAAATTTCCAAGTCCAAAGCCATCTGATTCCATGACTCACCCTTAGATCCAGGAGGGCCTTGTTGTCCTGGTAATCCATCCTTGCCTTTATCTCCAGGAAGCCCACGGGGTCCAGGCAGTCCTGGTAACCCAATTCCCGGGAGGCCAGGTGGACCAGGATGGCCTTTTTCACCAGGAAGTCCAGGTAACCCCTTTTCACCTGGAAAGCCCTGCCCACCATCACCCTAGACAACACATAAAAAAAAAGAATGAAAATTCAACTCAGAGATTTATCTGGACAGTCCTCTGACTACAAGAAAGAGGTAGCCAGTGTGACCAATGCTTTGTGTTTTGTTAAAATTCTCTATCATCATCATAGTTTATCAATCAGTCTCCTTTGACTTTAGTTAGTGGATATGAATCTTGTCTCCTCTGGATGATCTAACAACGCAAAAGTTTCTGGATAGGGGTGAGGAGACAGGGCAAGAAATGAGCAGGATAATAACAACCCTAGAGATCACAGAAAGTGGCTAGATTACTTGAGGAGAAAAGTTGCTGAGAAGCTGAAGTATTTTTAAGTCATATGGTCAGGTGTTACTAGCATTTATCAAATGAGACAATGATCCATTCTGAGAAAATGACTCCCACTTTACATAAAGGAAAATCAAAAAGCAAAAAGTTTCAGTGGCAGAGGCGGGACAAGGTACTCTAGACTCTGTTCTTCCCTGTTTCATGGTCCAGTGGCCATCAGACCTCCCAACAAAGTCAGGTGTAAAGATCTGTAGAGCTAATCACCCAGGAACGATCAACTTACCGGAAGTCCTGGCAGACCTGGTAGACCTGGTACTCCATCGTTGCCTGGTTTTCCTATTACACCAGGGAAGCCCTGGGAGCCAGAATCACCCCGATCCCCTGGCATTCCTGAGATTGTACTGAGAATTGGTTCCCCCTTCTTTCCTTTGGGTCCTGAAGGACCCGGAGACCCAACTAAGCCCTGACAAAGAGAGAAGAGGGAGGAGTCAGAAGGTGCAGACTTCATAGAATTCTGGCACTTAGCATTATGACTTAGAGCAGAACCTTGGCACTGTTATAGACACTGATTATGTTGTCATCTTGAATAACAGTTGCCCATTTATTTCTGCACCTTTTGTAAATTTTGAAATCTTTGAAGATGGAAACCTCACCTTAATTCCTATTTTATCTTCATGGGCCAGCACATTGCTAGGCAAAGGTAAACAATGTTGTGGAAGGAAGAAAGTGGGGAAAGAGAGAAGGGAAAATAGGTATGTTAAAGCAGAAAGGACTTTAAGAGACTCTATAGTTAGACTTCCTGTTGTAGATCAAAACCCCAAAACTTTGTTTTAATCCCACCTCTCTTGTATGCACTTTAGAAAAGTAATTGGGGGGATTGAAGGGCACTGGAAAGATTCCATTGCATCCTCAGGGTCAAAGTTTGGCAAGACTTACTGGAGCCCCTGCTGGGCCCTGTGCACCCCCAGAGCCTCGATCTCCTCTGGCTCCTTTAAGGCCTGGAAGGCCTATGAGACCCCGTGGACCAGGTGGGCCTGGTTCCCCGGGTGGTCCAGTGTTGGGAACACCACCGTCACAAGCACAGAAACCTGAGTCTCCTGGGAGAAAAAGACAACATAGAATGAAGTGGGTCATTTTGTTTTCTAAGAAGAATGAAGAATTGATAGTGGTTATTTGTGACTTGAACAACTCCATGGAGGCAATCTGAAGGCTTGCAGAGAACACACTCAAATAAACTTGGTTCACTCTCCAGCAGAGTATGTCTGTGTTAGTGGTTCAGATTTTGTTAGTCAGGGATGAGACTCAGCCATCAGTAAGTCTAAAGTATAGCCGTAGTTGAGAACCACTGACCTATACTAACCAGCGGAGAGTCTGGAATTCAAGCCGCTCAAAGATTTTTTTTTTTTACCAAAATGTCTTTTCACCTGACTTTTGTACACATGACACAAATGTGTACATATTTTTGTACACGTTGAGACAAATGCCAAATAAATAATGATAGGGATTTCAACAAAGCACCTTTGAAGAGGTATCAAGGAGTCACTAGCACTATGGTCCAACTCCCTATATCTTCCGTGCTTATTGTCTGGAAAATGAGAATTGGTGCCAACATCGGTGACCCTGAATTTCCTAAGATTCTGAAGGGCCCCTTCTTACTTTTAGAAAACTGATGATTCCTAAAACTCTTAAGAGAATAGTCTGTTCTTCAGATTAGTATTTCTTAAATGTGATCCTGTATCAGTCACCTGTGATGGTTGCTTATAAGGCAGCTTGCTGGGCCCTATCTCAGTCCTAATCACTCAGTCTCAGGAGGCCAGACCAAATAATCTAATTTTTAATAACCTCCCCTGGGTGATTCTCATGTATAATGAAGTTTGAGAATCCCTATCACTATTCCATACTTAGAGAAAATCTTTCAGCTCCATGGAAATACAGAATGGGGAGCATCAGAAATGTCCCTTTTTTAGGACTGTGAATGGTATCAAGAAATACACCAGCTTTGTAGTGAGTTAGGTAAGGGCCAAAATTAACATCTAAGTTAATTTAATGCCCTTTTCCATCAAATAGTTTGTCTGGGACCTGAATAGTAGAGAATAAGCTTTCAGGCATTTCTTAACCAGCCTCTATATACTTAGGTAACGACATTTTATGACAGAGCAATGAGAAAGGAGAGGAGTAAGTTAGAACTTCTCTGATTGAGCCTGAGGAAAGCAGTTTATTCCTAGAGATCTTGAATTACTGAACCCTAGGCCATCCCAAAACCCCTCTCCTGTCATTAGTTTCACTTCTTCCTCCACCCTGGCCTAGGCCACAACCATAATGAATTGACTTATTGAGCATCTTCCCCTCACAGTAAGTGATAGAAGGGGGAAATGACCCAAAGGCAGCTGCGGTCATTGATTGGTTCTCCAACACCAGTGGGGGCTAGGGTTGTTTTCCTGGAGCCAGTTGGGTTTTTCAGAGTCCCAGGTCTTGACCTGTTCAGAGCACTTTGCTTAAGGCTGAAGGTAGTAAGTGGCTTACATCCTTGGTCTTGCAAACTGGGAGGGGTAGCAGCATGCACTGGTTAACAGCCTGGGCTGCAGGTAGAGGAGAAAGAAAAAGAAGCCTGCGAACAACTTGGTCCTGTGTGACCTCCATTGCTAGCCTCAGTCTTAGAGACCCAAATATGGCACTTCTAACAATCCTAAAATCAAAGCCCCAAACAAGATCCACAATTGCTTCTGTTTAGGTTCCCCAGGCTGTTGGTTTTCTCATTCCCCATAAAGCCTTCTCTAAGGAGTTTGGAGGACCAAGAAACTCAAGGGGATAAAATCACCTTTTATTCCTTTGAGGCCTGGGTTTCCTTTTGGACCTTGTTCTCCTCGGAGACCAGGGAACCCTGGCTCTTTGTTGTGTAGAGTTTCGGCCTCAAATTCTGGACCTTTGGGTAAAAAAACAGATAAAGGATTAGCAACTTGTATAAGCCTGATGACTTCCCTAACTCACCACAGCAGCTCAATCACCAAGGCCCAAGTCCTTGAGGCTCAACAACCAGAGCAGAGACAAACAAATAAAATTCAAGACCGGGACCCCAAATCTGCAGCAAGGAGTCAACAGGACCTCTGTTGGTTCAATTCACTCTACTAATATTTATGGAATGTCCATTATGTTCCAGGCACTGTACTAGACAGCGGGGTTAGAGGAATGAACAAGGTAGCTTCTAAAACTCAGCAGTACCAATGTCTACCCCAGAAACCTCCCTTAGGACAAAAGAGGAAAGAGGTGCAAGCTGCAGTGGATATGGGCTTTAAGGTACAAAGAAACATTCTGGGCAGCATTTCCAGCTTTTCTCTCAGAATCTAGAATCTCACACTCAAGTAGGAGATCTAAGAAGGACAGGCCCTGTGTAGGCTTTTAGCAGCCACCTCAAGGGTCCAGGCTTGGCTTCTTTTTTTCTCAGTCTCTCAGCCCACCCCATTGGAGCCTTGTGGACCAGGGCAAGCTCAAAATAACCAATGCTGCTTCTTTAGGAGCTGAAAAAACAAACTTAAAGGCTGAGAACAGTGAAAGATGGAGTGGGAATGGGTACAAAACTTGGAAGGCATTAGGCCCTAGTTTGCTTGTTCCTTGATGGAGAACACTCTGCTGTTATCAATAACTGGTAGAGGCAGGGATCTGACTCAGGGACGATGGGGCCTTCATGGCTGCCCCTCTGCAATTATCATGTATCCTGGCTTAGCTGTTTCACCTGTGAGATGCCCCCTCAAAAATCATGACTGTTCTGCAGTCTGGATCACATCTGAGTCTTGAGACCAAAAGAGAAATGAGTAACTTACCAGGTGGGCCTGGTGGACCTGGTGGGCCTGGCAAACCATCTCTGCCAGGGAGGCCAGCTGCTCCAATTGTGGTACGGCCTGGGTTTCCTTGGTCCCCCTTCAGCCCTGGAAATCCCTGAGGCCCTAGGGCTCCTAGGACACCTGGAAAAATAAGCCCACACACAAATGCTCACTATATCACCCCACTCTCTGGAGTATTCCTATCTGTGGCATATGTTGGAAACAAATCCAAGGAAGAATTTAGGGAAGCATTTGCCCTTCTCTTGCATCAGAGTTAGAAGGATCCTTAGGGATCAATTAGCCTAATCTCTTGGGAAACTGAGACCCAAAGAAGAGAGGAAACATGATCAGGGGCCCAGCATTTCTCAGTGGCAAACCTGAGAAGAAAATCTGGGTCTCTAGCCTTTCACTTCTTGATTTTTTCCCAACTTGGTGCTGGGGCCAGCTGTACCATTTCCAGGTGACTGCTTTAAAACCATAGGTATCCTCACAGCAGCCCATCTCCAAGGAATTTAGAAACTGGTGACTTTAAAAGTAAAAGTTGAGCTTTATATCTGGGGCATCACTGCATCCCAGACTCTGGCCTGCCTTTTTCCACATGTCACTATAGAATGACATATGGATGTGATTAGTTCAAGAGTGTTACCCACAGGATCCTGGGACCATTCAGTACCTGGCTGAATCCTACAGCAAGGTTCTGGGTATAAATCTTCATCTGGGCTTTTGCTAGCCCCTCTTGGCAAGCATCAACTGGGATGGCATATCCACAGGAGGGTGACACAGCTCCAGCAACTCAACCCAGGACCCCTCTTGTTGCTGCAAACCTCAGTGACAGTCTAGGATTGCCTGTCCAGCTATGATACATTATTTAAGCCAAAAACAAAAGCTGCTCACCCAGCCCCCACATACGTTAGCTTTGGGCTGGCAGTCGGGAACCTACTGACTATAGTCTACCTCTTCTTTGACTTCGGCTAGGTGTGTGCCCCAACCCAGAGGTACAGAAGGGAATGCTAGGAACCACAGTGTATAGCGGACTGATCTGCGCAGGAGATGGGTTAGTTTTTTTTTTTTTTTTTTACCTGATAATGCTGGCAAGCCAGGGACACCAGACGGGCCACGCATGCCCTGGATGCCTTCATCTCCTTTAAGGCCTGGGAGGCCAGGTACACCAGGGTCTCCAGGATTACCTGGCATTGTAATGAAAGACAGCAGTAAATAAAGGCAGAGGAGGCCCACAGATGCTACAAAATGCCCAAGAAGAGGTGTAGGGAGCTGTCCTGGCATTAGAAGTGCCTTTCTTGCCCTTTCCAAGTCTCTCATGCTAATGGCCTCACATGATAATTGGTCTTCTGGAGCCAAGGGGCCTTCTGGAGCCAACATTAGTGTATTAAGAATTGGTCTGGCCACGGCCTGCCTTTCATGGTAAGCTCTGGTAAGTACTTCTTCTTCTACCACTAATCTGCTGTAATGCCTAAAATGTCTACCATTTGGATTAAGATGTTGAAGTCCACTATTTATGTTACACATATATGTTTCTTGTGAGTGGCACACAGGAAGCCACTGTCAAATATTAATACCAAACCGGGCATGGGCCTTAGAGGATGAGAGGAGAGAAATAAGTGGGAAGACCCATGGAAGAGTAACTACAGTAGAAGCCTTTGGTCAAACAAGAAGTAGCTGGAGATACTGGGCATCTCAATATTTGGAGAAGGTAAAGGGAAGAGTTGGGCACACACAATAACTAGGACAAGGAGAGATGAAGACAGATTTTCTAAGCATCATACTCTTGAGGGCTCTCAGTCACTTGCTTCCCTAACCAAAGGTACTTTTCCACTTCCTATGAAATTGTCAAGCTCAAGCATGCATAGAATCACCTACATGAGGCCCTGAGTATTCCATAGTATCAAACTGAAGTCAGCCCAGCTGGGGGGTGGTTATCCATCCTTCCCAAAGCATCGCCAGGAGAACCATTTTCACCAAATTCAGGCCCAGGCAGACCCAAATCCTAGGCTTAGTGGACTCAACACAAAAACAGGGTGCTGGGCTTGGCTTCTCTGCCCAAGAGATTGGAGTTAGCTTTATTACCCAAGTTCAGGAGCCATGAGGGGCTCTTGGGTGTGTCAAGTTTAGCAACAATCGAGTAACTAAGTATCCTTTAATAATTACGGGGGATATAGGATTTAACTTCCTGTCTTTATTTTCTACTCAAATTAATGAGAAGTTGCACCTGAGATCACAGCACCATCTATATCGATGAAAACATCTGGGCCTGGCAGGCCAATGTCACCCTTTTCACCCTGCAAAGATTAAGTACATTAAACACAAATGTTTCCATGTCCTTATTACCCAAGATCTATGTGCCATTAAAGCCCATCCCTAGGAAAATGAAAGGTTCTTCCTTCTATAACCCTGGATTTTCAGGGTCAACTAGTCCATAGGTTAATTTCAAAGTCCCATAAATTTAAGATGAAGGTGACACAAAGCAGGCCAGAGGCCTAACATTCAGTTGCAAACCTGTCAAGGACAGGGGATCCCAATTTTATTTTGCAACTCTACTCAAGGACAGTCTGCTCTGGGCCTTGACTGTACCTAAGTAGTGCTAAGGAGAGAACAGAGTTTTAACTTTTTTCCACTCTTAACAGGCCTGGGCCTCTACTACCATCACAACCCTTGTTAGTGGATGATGTCTGGCAGAGGAAATTAAAGGAGTTCTAATACTCCCCAAAGACAGACTTAGGTACTAAAAACACATACAGTGGCATATCCAGGGTGTGATGGTGGCAGTTATATGCCCCAGGTGTAGGCAAAAAGGGGATGCATTGTCTGTAGAGAATTTAAAACAATAATAAAACCAACAGTTGGTAATTCTAAGCAATATGAATAAAATTTTCCTCATCTGTGGAATGGACTTGCTGTCACCAGCCCCTGCCCCTTAGTTTACCACCGATCAAGTAGTATCTAAGAAATGCTCATTAGCAGCTTTGTGTATTCAAAGTAGGTTACATGCATTTCTTGAGAAAAAATTGAAACTTAAAAGGTCAAAATATTAAAAATACTTCATCTTATATACAGACATTTGTGGTAATTCACCCTTCTACCTACCAACCCTGGATTTTTCACTTCCCAACTTTACCTCAATTCCTTGGAATCCATTAAGCCCAGGAAATCCCAGGGTCCCTTTCTTGCCCTGTGACAGAAACATAGTTACCACTAAGTTGAAAGTATGAGAGCATAAGAGGGTCTGGTCTTTGGATTAAGCCAGGGCAAATGGCACAGGGATCTTGGATGACATTGCAGGGTATGTGTGGCTTCTATCTGACTCTGGAAGCTGTAAAATCTCCCAGAAGACAATATGGCAGTAAGTAGCCAATTTACATATTAGGAGGTACAAGGGCCACAAGGCTAGACACGGATACAAGCAGGCTGGCCTTGCTAGTCCCTGATAGCATGCCAAAGATGTATGACCACAGCATGGAATGGCAAGGCACTGAACTTGACACTGGATACCCATGTTCTTGAGTGAAAAGAAAAGAGGACAGTGGCTAAGATTATACCAAAAAAAAGGGAGATGAACAATTTGCATTATAAGTAATGTCTCCCTTTGGCCATGTTAAGTAAAGCAAGGGGGACTTTTAATTGGGATTTTATACACGAAGGCTTTAATGATATTAACCAAAATACCTGTTGCCCTGGAGGGCCTTGGACTCCTTCTGAACCCATGGGACCCTGTAAAGAAAATAGTTACACCTTAGAAAAATCAATAGGCTACCTAGAAAAAGCCACTAGACTTATATAACAAAGTTGTACAGCTGAGTTCAGGATTTAGCAGCTCCTAAAATCAGGTAAGCGAATGTTCCTAGACCTGGCTTAATGACTTTTTTTTTTTTTTTTTTTTTTTTGAGACAGAGTCTCACTCTGTTCCCCAGGCTGGAGTGCAGTGGTACATTCTTGGTTCACTGCAACCTCCGCCTCCAGGGTTCAAGCAATTCTCCTGCCTCAGCCCCCTGAGTAGCTGGGACTATAGGCATGCGTCACCACACTTGGCGAATTTTTGTATTTTCAGTAGAGACAGGGTTTCACCATGTTGGCCAGGCTGGCCAAACTCCTGACCTCAAGTCATCCACCCATCTCGGCCTCCCAAAGTGCTGGGATTACAGACGTGAGCCACCACGCCTGGCCTAATGACTTCTTTCTAAGCACTAATCCATCAGGCTAAATAGCCACATGGAGCATTTTTTAAGAGCCAAATAAATGGAAACAGTTTAAGTAGTAGGTGGAATTTGATAGAAGGGCTGGGTGGTATTATACTTAGTCTGCATTCGTTCCAAGTCAGGAGATCTTTAAATAGATTATGGGAGGGCCTCGTCTTCCACCTCAAATGCATTCTTTGTTGGTGATTATATGTATTTTCAAGACAAGGGAGGGGGAAAAGTAGAGAAAGAAATGGCAGGGTAATGGATAAATATGGCTAAATACTCAAAGGACTCTTACTTAATAAACTTCATAGTCAACTTAACAACACAATTCTCTAAAATGTTACTTCTTTGAGGCTAAGCTTGGCCCGCTGCTTCTAGCTCAAGACCTAAGTGCCCGAAGCTAGGAATCAGAGAGGCTAATAGTTATTTTTCCATTTCAAATGAGATTATTATTGGAAACTGTTGACTCCAAACATCACTCACTATGTTCTAGAACTTTCCAGGATTGTTTCTGTCCTATAAAGGTTGCACTTGGCCCTCTTTCTTCCATTCCTGTGCCACTTCTGTGCTCAATTCCCTCAGAATAGAATGGAATGAAAGCAAGGCAACACTCATATCATTCTTTAGCCCAGAAGACAATGATACATGACAGCAAGGAGATAAATAGCCTGAGGAGCCACCTAGAGTAGAGGGTGCCTCTTTCCTTTTCAAGAGAGTGATTCAATCAAGGGAATGGGGCTAAGAGAGAAAGAGGTCTTAGGAACTTGCCATTGGGTTGAGGAGAAACGAGAAGCTTAGGTGGCAATTAAGTTGCAAAACATGAAGAAGCAAACAGGAAAGAAAATGGACAAGGTGACTTGACAGACCCAGGCAAGTAATATTCCAGGTTCGTACCCTAGGTCCTGGCAAACCAGGGATTCCCTTTTCTCCCTTTTCTCCAGTAGTTCCAAGGCCCTAAATGAAAAAAGAAACCACAAGTTATAAAGTTTGTTTTCTCATTGGTCTCCTGGCTTCATCCAAACAAGGGGGCTATTTTAATTAAGCTCCATTCTCCCCTTAGGGAGGCTCACCATGCTGTCTCTTGTCACTGCCTGAGAAGCACGTAAGTTCTGAATATGAATTGGACCATTCATTCAAGGTCCCCCTTTGGTTCTAGAAGTAATGCCCCCCACCCCACCTACAACACTGTTCCATGTATTTATAGTATCATAGGCTAACAGCATAGAAATGATTAAATATCTAACCTTGCTGATTTTACAGATGAGGAAACCAATATCTGGATAAGTTAAAATTGAATGAGAAAGCCAGATCTTGTGTTTTTCATTCCGGGAACCTTTCCATTAGAACAGGCTGCCTTCTATCATTTAGGAACTTGATTATTTGACCTACAAATGGAGGATTATGCAAATTCTTGGGGGTTGATACTAGGGGGAAGAGCAAGAGCTTTTCCCCTTTGGTGACATAATAAGCACAACATTGTTTTCAGTGGGAAGAAGCATTTCTATCTAGGCATGGTCTGAAACCCTACAGCTCCTGTACTGGGACTATAGGGCTCTTGCCTGGCCCTAGAGATAGTCCAAAGGGGACTGTGAGATGGTCTCCAATCCCTCTTGCCCTGCTCATCGGAGGTGAGGATTTGTAGCCATGAATATGACTTGGAGATTCTCTAGGGAAAAGCAGGAACTCCAAGAAGCAGAGTGAGTAAGAAAGAACTTCCTCCCCTCTGGGTCCAAGGCAAATAAATGTCTGGGCCCCCAAGATACAGAAGAGTTCATTACTAAAGTGGACAAAGTTTTTCACAGAAAACTTAAATGAGGCCACTGCGCTGTTGTTCAAAATTGTACTTTTTGGAGCACAGATTTAGCAAACAACATTTTGGCTTATTGTGAACGTAAAGGAGGCAATGAAGGAAAGACACTAAATGTTGTGGAACATCTGTTGTCCCTTTAATGTGACCTGGCTCACCTGCTCAAATCCCATTTGTAGCTTTTTCTTCCTTTTACATACATACTCAGTGCGCTCCCATGAGTACTGAAAGCTGGTTGAGCACCCCTTGGCTTTCTGGGCCCAGGGTTTTTCATTTTTGTTTCCTTTTGGCTAGTCATGTTTTTGTTTTTTTAATGTGGGTTGTTTTCATTGTCTTTTTATTGGGAGGAGAGTGTGTGTGTGTGTGTAGGATCCAATTCAAAGCAGGCTTTGGTCCCGTACTTACCTGTTCTCTTTTCTGCATTTATATAACTGTGCATCAAATAGCTCAGCCTTCATGCTACATTAAACTTCTAATGTGAAAGGCTCGTGGGTTAAACTGAATGCAAACTTATTTAAAATATTAGTTTTTCTGCATCAAACCAAGGCATGCTGCGACTTGGTGGAATGTCTGTCGGCTTCTGAGGTCAAACACTTCAAGAAGCCTTCTCTCACCTGTCCATGAAATCTGTGGCGGCCCGTGCTGCCCCAAACTCTTAAAGTGCAAAGATTGGTTGCATATGAAAGTTTTATAAGCATGAGGCCTATATTACACTCTCTTTTATCTTTCTCCAAGGCCCATTACTACAGTCTGAACACATACAAGGTGGTCCAGTAAATATTTGTTGAACTGAATGGAATAATGACCTAGAGAACAAAACTGTTGCAAAGGGTGAAGGAAAGAATGTTCAGGAACCATCTTGTGCCCCCATCTGTCTTGCCCTCAGTTATAAATATAAGGGGGCCTTGTACTACTTCTCCAGAAAGCAGAAGAGTCTTGCTTTCTCAGAGGGCCTGAGAGCTTGTGCTATAGTGTGAACAAAAATAAATATGTTTAAAAAATGTAAAAAGGAAAACAAAGACAAATTTGTGTGTGGGGGTTAGAGCCAACAAAAGATAAATAGCTTGGCAAGACACTGGCTGTGCTGTAGGTTCAACTTGTCTCCAAGAATAGGGAGGCACTGTACAGGGACCCTGCTGAACAAGCTGTTCTAGCAAGATGCCCTGGGACTGGCCCCGTCACAGTCAGTCCTCCTCATGAGTAATCTTGCAAATGCTGCTCCCACACTCCTACTTACCCATGGCCTGGAAAGCCTCACTGGAGCTAGCTTAACTGTTTCCAGGCCTGCTCTCCTGGGCTCCGGATTCCTGATGCTTTTTGGTTCTGAGGAGGCTCAATTGAAGAACCCCACCTACCTAGTAGTTACTCCTACTCAATAGTTACTTCAGGATTTGCCAGTTTCTTCTCTTATCCCTCCCCTCATCTATTCCATTTTTGCCTTCCCCTGTGTTTGCTAGTCCCTTGGACAGAGGGCAAATGGATATACAATTCTCTCTGACGACCTCCATGGAAAGACCTGTGGCCTACAAGTGTGAGCGTGTTGCTCGAGACAACGGGATAAAATGTGTGAGGTGAGGACTGAGCCAGAAAATCAGGGATGTTTGGTCACTGCAGAGGGGCCAAGAGAAAGAAGGTGAGGGGCAAATCTCTCAGGTTGGGCACTTCGTCTCTTACAAAGATTTGGACTCATATAGGAAGAAAACAAATAGTTAAAAGGAACATTTTGAATTCCATAGAGATTTCTGTCTTCAGTGCTGCCTTGTTTCTCAGTAAGTGTGGATAATTGAAAGCTGATGTGAAGGCTTTGGATTTGAGAAGCACATTTCCTCTGAAAGGTCCAGAGTATCACAAATACATTACCACATTTCTCCTCATAACTTTTCTGTCATAAGGCATTCATATAAATTACCTATGAATGTTCCCATTAAACAGATAGAGATATTAGGACTGTGAAGGAGTTACCTGATTTGGCCAAGGTCACACTTTGAATCTGTGCCAAAGTGGGCTGAGAATTCTGGTTTCTTAATTCCCACCCTATGAAAACATGCTGTTCTATGTAAAGGGGTTATTTTCCAGCTTTGATGTCTTTACAATCAACTGGGGTTTCTATTTTTCAGCCCACACTCTGAAACACTGGAAATACTGAGCTTGAAATGGTACTGCAATTTATCATCCTGCATTGTCGTCAGTCTCTTTCTTTTACAGGACTAAAGGGAATGGGTTGAAATTGCAGCAGGGGAAATACTCTGGGTTCGGATGTGGAAGGGAAGGGGAGGGAGGCAGTGTGAGCCAGTGAAGCCAATAACACCGGAGGAGATCATAAAATCCTTTGTAGAGATTTAGAGACAAAAACCCCACCACGCCTGGGATTAGAACAAACTGGACTGTAGGGGGCAGTATGGTATGGGGAAAAAGCCATCAAATTGGCTAGAATTCAAGAAAGCTGAATTTCAATCTCAGCTCTGCTAATAACTAGCTGCGTGATTCTGGACAAATCTCTTCACCCGTTGAGGCTGTAGTTTCCTCATCAGTATAAGGGAGATAAGCCTGGCTCACCTTGCTTGCCTCACAGGGACAATGCCAGGTGGCTAGAATCTATGTGAAATGCTCTACAAAGAAGGTGAAAACCTTATTCCCAAACTCACTTGCAAAGTACTTTATATCTGTACTGTCCAATAGAAATATAATGTGAGCAACTATGTTATTTTCATTTTCCTAGTAGCCACATTAAAAAAGCAAAGTAAACAGAGATTCATTTAAATGATAAATTTTACTTAAACAAATATATAATAAATATTGTCATTTTAACATCAAAGTAAAAAATCTTATTGAGATATTCTAGATTTCTTTTCATACTATGTTTTTGAGATCTGGTGTGTAATTTACACTTACAGTACATCTGATTTCAGATCAGCCACATTTCAAGGGCTCAGTAGCCACACATGGCTGGTGGTTATCTTATTGAACAGGACAGCCTTATATTTTTTAAAGAAACTTTGCATACATTATTAGTTGTGTCTTAAAAGAGTAGATATATGCATGTTCTCACTCATATGTGGAAACTAAAAAAGTTTATCTCATGGAGGTAGAAAGTAAAATGAATGATACCAGAGGCTGGGAAGGGTGTGAGAGTGGGGTAGGGGGAGAGATGGAGAGAGGTTGGTTAATGGGTGCAAACATACAGTTAGACAGAATGAATAAGTTCTAGTGTTCGATAGTGGAGTAGGGGGACTATAGTTAACAACAATATACTGTATATTTCAAAGTAGCCAGAAGAGAGATTTAAAATGTCCCCAACACATAGAAATGATAAATGTTGTGGTCATGGATATCCTAAATACCCTGACTTCACCATTACACAGTCTGTGCATGTAACAAAATATCACACGCACCCTATAAAAATGTAGAAATATTTTCTACAAATAAAAAATATAAATATGACCATTGTCAAATTACAGATATAAAGAGAGGTTCAGTGACTTGCCAAAGTCCCAGAGCAGGGACTGGGTCTAAAGTTTGGGTGTTCTGTCTCCAACACTAGGGTTCTCTTCCTTTCCGGTTCATTAGATACAGAGGTGATTAAAATCAAGTGCATTGAACAGATGATTCTCCATGCCCCCTTTATTTCTATGGAGTAATAAGAATCATCATGGAAGGAACCTGTGCCACTGGCTCCACTGGCTCTGCTTTCTGGCCACCCAGAGAGACCCAAACTATTTCAAAGTACTGTAGGGAGGGAATGGAATCATCTATCCCCATTGGCCCAGCAAGGACAGGCAGGCCTAGTCATCTTTGATTCATCTATTTTCCACCTGATCTCTATTCCCAATCCATGAAAATCTTGTCAGCTCTTTCAAAACATATCTTGTGATTTAAAAGACACATTAAACAAATGTAATGCATTGTTCTTGTCTGGCTTTTCATTCAAACAAGGCAACTGTAAAAAAATATATATACCTATAAGACAATCAAAAATTTGAATTCTGCCTTTTTAACTGATATTAATCGCTGATCACAAATTACTGATGATGATACTGTCACTATGTCTTAAAAAGCCCTTACCTTTTAAATATTCAGAGGTATTTGTGATGAAATGATATGTCTATTATTTGCTTTGGATTGGCCATAAGTTGCTAATTATTGAAACTCTGTGATGGGTACATGAGGGATCATTATGACATTCTCTCTGCTTTTGTAAATGTTTGAAATGTTCCCTAATAACAAGTTTGAACATTTTTACATTTTGAATCTATCCACTTATTTCCAAGTCCATTGCTGTCACTATAGTCCAAGTCACCACCACTATCTCTTGCCTGGACTACTGCCATACCCTCTGTGTTTGCTCTTCCACCCTTCCCATTCCCTCTCCCCTTCCTCCCACAGCCACAGTGATCTTAAAAATACAAGTCAGAGCCTTTGAATGGCTTCCCATTACATTAAAAATAAAAAACTGCATTGACCTATGAAGGTAGCGAAGATCTGGTTCTGACTTCTCTGTCTGGAATTATTGGCCTTGCTTACTCTGTTCCACTTACTCACCTTCTTACTGTTCCTCAAAAGTACTGAGGCTTTCTTAACCTCAAGGTCTTCGCACTTACGGTTCCCTCAGCCTTAAACCCTCTTTCTGATCTTCACAAGACGTGCTCCCTCATAATATGCAGGCCTTACCTCATACATCACTTCCTCAGAAAGGCCCTTCTTGACTGTTGTGTCCCAAGTAGACCACCCTGTTCCCCATCCACACTTCATCACTTTACCCTTCTTTAATCTTTTATATATCGCCAGTATATGAACTTGTTATAGATTTATCTGTTTGCTGGTTTCTTGTTTGTTTTTTCCCTCACTCCTCCATTAGAATGTAATCTCAAGGACAGGGACTTTTACTTAGTTACTGTTGTAACCTCCAAGTCCAGCAGAATGCCTGGCACATAGGGACCCTCTAAAGGTAACTGATGAGTGTAAGAATCTAAGCTAGAAAGGCAGATATGAAAGTGAAGGTAGGATTACTAAGATTAGCTACCATTAACTGAATAATAAGTGCTAGACATGTAGTAAGCCCTTTTCATGCATATTATCTCATTTAATCCTCATAACCACCCTAACATTCTCCCCTTTTTTGTAGGTTAGGAAACTGAGGCTCAGAAAAGTTAAGAAACTTGTCCAGGTTCACATAGTTAGAAACTGGCAAAATCAGAAGTCAGGCCTAGGTCTGTTTTAACTATGGAGCTTGAGCTAATAACCTCTAAGTTACACAGCCTCATGGAGAACCATGCTTATGTCTCCATGTGTTTAAGAAACAAGAACATCTCCTTAAATGCCTTCTAATAATAAAGATGGTGGCATTCTCTACAATATCCATGGGAAGAAGTCTTTCTGTTAGCCTTCTATTGCTACAGCTTTTGTCCAATCAGACCCTTGAATACATGTTGATCAAATAGAGAGACTTACCGGGAAGCCTGGAGGGCCACTTATGCCTGGAAAACCCTTAGGCCCTGGTTCACCCTGGAAAATCAGCCAAAGGTTAGTAAGTAGCATCAGGAAGCAGCGAACACACAGGAGGATGGCTCTCTGCAAGTACTTGGACTGAGGAGTGGGGAACCAATGAGGTATCAAGATTAGGGCAGCAGAGAGTGGTGCAGATTCCCCAGGCTCCCTAACTAGTAGCTGTACCAGGATGTCTTAGTTCATGGAGCTCTTTGCTGTGGGAGAAGGATTATGGACCATAACTGTCTAAAACAGAATGTCAAATACTGAGGCTAATTGGGAGGCAGAAAGGATGATTGTCTGTTTTCTTTCTAGTGGAAGAAGCTATTCAGTACAATTTCCTATAGAAAATTATAGGCAGCAGAGAAATCCATAGTCTTGGGAAAAGGGTAACAATTACAATTTGGATAGAGACACATAACAATTTGATCTGTCATTCTTTGATATGTGAATTTATCTATACGTGCCATGGAAAAGCTCCTTAAGTTTTGGGAATGATTGAGGAAGCAGACAATCTCTTTCATGCTGCCAGACCATTCCCAAATCAACAACTAGTTCCTATAAACCCGGAGGGGCTTGGAGTTGTTGCTTCCACAAAGACAAATTTAAAGAAAGGAGACTAAACACATTTCCCTGCCTAGGCCCCTTGGCCATGGGAACAGAATCACAAAGCTTAAAGGAACCCTGGCAGGAAATGCAAGTTACTGGAAGATCTCTGCACACCTTAACAGTACACAACCATTCAATTACAACCATGTAGGTAGTATACAGTGACTCACATAAAAATACAGATCATAAAATATTTCAGTTAAACAAGTCTATAGCGTAAGCCTTGGTAGTTCAAATCAGGTAAATTAGGGCATCTCTTGTCACCACTTGGTGACAGTATATCCTATTTTCAGGGTCAAGTTTTAAGAGCAAATAACTTCTTTAAAAAGATAATTTAAGAGCAACCATTCATACCCTATGTGTTCTGTCACAGTACTTTGGGGACATCATAAGTATTGAGAGGGTTGGGAGTTAGGAGGAAAAACACAACTATTTAATGTTTAAGTTATTCAGTATATCAAAAATTGAATCTGCAACACTAAAACAGAGAAAATAGCGCTTAAATGAATACTCAGATGTCCAGGTACACTCCTACCTACACACCAAGAAACCTACTCCGTCTTTTAAGAAAGCTTTTCATAAGAGTCAAAACAAAGAAGCCTTTTTACTCTCACTTCTAAACAAAAATCCATTACCCAGAACCCTCTATTCTTCCAGTATTGTCTGGTTATTAAAGTTCTTATAATTATAGGAAAAAGTTTATTAATTTTTCCTATTCTCAAATGTTCACTACCTTGGATCCTTTCTTCCCTTTGGGGAATCCCATGAATTCCAGCTCTCCAGTAGATGGTGGAGGTCCTGCTGGGCCAGGGAGGCCAACATCCCCCTGTAAGATCAAATGGAACATTAAGCAAAGTGAAAATCACACCGACCATTTTTCTAGAGGGAGGGGTTATCCTCTGGATGTAACTCACAAATAAACTGTCTCTTACTTTGGCCTCTTCACCCTCATGCCAATGAGAAAACAAAACTCTCATTGCCAAAGGGTGAGAAGAATTATAAGCCTGACCAATGAATTTCATACCAGCACTGCAGAGGGAAGAGCAAGATGGATAGAAGGAAACTTTAAGTTCATGGTTGGTATGAAAGGATGTTTAGAAGAGAGTAAAAAAGGAATCAGAACAAGGTGAATGACTACCTCTTGGCAACAATGACCCGACTCTAAGTGTTCTAATCCTTGCGAAGAGCACAAGCAGAGGCAATGACGTCCACGTTAGAACATTGGAGGCAAGAGTTGTTCCTTCAGAAGGCAGTACAATTGTGAGAGAAGGGTGGGAATGGCAAGTTCTCAGCCTCGCTTGAGGCTCTGAAATCACAATGCAATTTGTAAAGAGAGAAATGAGAGAAGGAGGGAAATAAAAGAGAATGGTGAAAGAGAAGTTAAAGAAGAGAGATAGAGGAGAGAGAGAGAGACAGAGAGAGAGAGAAGGACGAAAAGGAAAAGGAGGAGGAAGTGGAGGACGGTGAGGAGGAGAAAGGGTAGAGAGAAGAGGGGAATCAGAGACAAGGAAAGAGAAGGGAACAGAATACACAAAACACCAAGGAAAGACCCAGATGGAAGGAAGAGAAAGAATCTATTTCAAGGGAATATGTTTGTAAGACATACACCTTTCACAGGTAGGAAGCAGGGGAATAACAATATCTTGAAGGGAAAAGGACCACAATAGCCCATGTGTGGCATGTATACATGCAGCCCTCAAGAGATCCCACCAGAGGATCTAAATGCTCATTTCCCAAGGCGAAAAAACAAATCCTCTTACACAAGCAGGCACATGTGTGTAATCAGACACATTTCTTGCAGCATATGGAATGCAGATTGTATTTTTTAAAAGCTATTTACCTTGACTCCTTTCTCTCCTTGAAAACCTAGCCCCATATTCCCCTAGGGAATAGGGATACAGGGAGGAAAAACAAAATCAATTACTAAATAAGCTCTGGGAACTTAAATTGGAATGCAATCTTTTTTACCAGAAAGTAGGGTTAACCAAACCAGTATCTCTCTGGGAAATCCAGAGTACTTAGGAGTAGGAAGCAAAATTCCCCAAGACAAAGTATACTTACATCAGGACCAGGAGGACCAGGAGGCCCTGGAGGACCCTAGATTTTTTAAAAAATCAGAAAAATAAGAAAGAAAAGAGTTAGCACTTGTTAGTTTCTGTCAAAAGAATTGTTGAGAGCCACTCCCCAGTAACTTAGTCCTCTTTCCTGCTTTGGCATAGTAGATTATAACTGTCTTTCCTGTGGTTCCCTGTTATCTACTTTGAAATCCCCCAAATTGACCTGGTAATCCCATTAATGCTAAGGTAGTGAAGACTTCATGTGTCATTCCTCCCAACAGGCCAGAAATTTTAAAATGATGACCTTTGGTGAAACTAAGCCAAAGTACTGAGTAGTGGGATTTCTTGCACTGGAGAGAACAATCTGGGGACACAGCTTTCCTAGAACCACATAGATGACTGGCTATGCTCTTCCTCTACCAGTGATGATAAACAGGTTTTGTGTCAGAAAAATAGGTAGGTAGGTAGAGCTGCCCAAGATGCAGTGTTAGGAAGGAATCTGAAGCTTCTTCAGTGTTCAGGGTGGGTGATAGTGATGGTAGTATGATTAATTGCAATATTTGTCATGAGTGAGGAAATGGAAGGTGGCAATAAATGTGTCAGGGATCTGCCATCCCTGGGCTATACTTCGGGTTGAGCTACGGTGGGAGGCTTTAGAAACACAGATTGGATGGTCAGAGAGACTCTGATAAATAACTCCAATAGCTCCTGGCAAGAGCACGCTTTACTTTAACCCTCCAAGAATGGAGGTTGCCCTTGATCACCAGGAGGACCTAAATTACACAGGCTTACATTGAATCCATAGTATGGTAGGGAAAACAGTCATGTGAATACTGTGATCACACACTAAGCTTAAATTGATCTTACTTGTAATCCTGGTGGTCCTGCAGGTCCTACAGCTCCAGGAGATCCGGGTGCTCCTTGTGGGCCCTAGAGAGGCAAGTTTTTACCAAGTTCAAAAAGCAAGGCAGTTTTCTAAGAAAAAGGAAAATATGTATGTCCACGAGAACTCTACAAGAATGTTCATAGCAACTTTATTCATAATAGTCAAAAATTGGAAATGTTCCAGTTGTCCAATGATACAAGGATAAACTCTGATAGATTCAAACAGTGGAATAAATGCCTACAATAAAAAGTAGCAAATTACTGATATATGAAACAATGTGGATGAATCTCAAAATCACTGTGTTAAGTGAAAGAAGCCAGACCCAAAAGGCTAGAGGTTATATTATTCCCTTTACCTGAAGTTCTAGGACTGGCATAATAGAGAAAAATCAGGATTGTGGTTGCCTTTGGAGTGAATTGGGACAGAGATTGACAGAGAAGGAGCAGGAGGGAACTTTCCGAGTTGATAGTAATTTTCTATACCTGAATAGAGGTTTGGATTGCATACAAGTATGCATTTGTCAAAACTCAGCAAACATGCACCTAAGATTTATGTGTTTCACTGTATGTAAATTTTGTATAAAGAGAAAAAACTGCAAACAAATATTGAAGTCTAATTAAAGATAGGCATGCTATAGGATTTAGGAGTAAGTGAACTCTTGTCTACCATTTACTTTGAAATTCATTAAAAATAGGATGGATTAAACACCACATGTTCTCATTTATAAGTGGGAGCTGAACAATGAGAACTCATGGACACAGGGAGGGGAACAACACACACTGAGGCCTGTCGGGGGGTGGGGTAGGGGGAGGGACAGCATCAGGAAAAATAGCTAATGCATGCTGGGATTAAAACCTAGGTGACAGGTTGATAGGTTCAGCAAACCACCATGGCACACGTTTACCTATGTAACAAACCTACATGTCCTGTGAACTTAAAATAAAAATTAAAAAATAGGATGGATTGATGGACAGATAGAGGGATGGATAGATGGATAGAAGGATAAAGCAAGTACAGTTGGCCCTCTGTATCTGTGGGTTCCACATCTGTGGATTCAACCAACTATTGATTGAAAATATCTTTTTTTTAAAAAAGGATGGTTGCATCTGTATGGAACACATGCAAACTCTTTTTTGTCACAATTCCCTAAACAATACAGTATAACAACTTTTTGTATACCATTTACATTGTATTAGGTATTATAAGTGATTTAGAGATGATTAAAAGTATAGGGGAGGATGTGTATAGGTTATAGGCAAACATGACACCATTTTATATAAGGGATTTGTGCATTCATGGATTTGGGTATCCATGAGAGGTCCTGAATCCAATCTCCCATGGATACCAAGGGATGATGTATAGTAAAATATTAATGGTATGCATGTTCATTGCAAAATTCACTCTTCTTTGCTGTATATTTGAAATTTTTCCTATTAGAATGTTATAATAAAACAAACACTTTTTTAAAAAAGCAAAAGAGTTATATTAATATCAGGTAAAGTAGGCTTTGAGACAAATAATATTACCAGAGATAAAGAAGCATGTTTCAAAATGATAAAATTAGTCAATTTATCAAGAAGACATAACAATCTTAGATGCCTATGCACATAATAGCAGAGCTTCAAAATACATGAAGCAAAAACTAACAGAACTTCAAGTAGAAACAGTCAAATCTGCAGTTACCGTTGGACATCTTAACATCCCTCCTTCCATAATGAACAGAAACACTAGACAAAAATATCAGTCAGGACATAGAAGATCCAAACAATATTATCCATTACCTTGACCTGATGGATAATTTTAAGATCATTATACCCAACAACAGCTGAATACATATTCTGTTCAAGAGCATATGGAACATTCACCAAGATAGACCATATGCTGGACCATAAAACAAACCTTGACAAATTTAAAAGAACTTAAATAACACAAAGTGTTCACTCTAATTGCAATAAAATAAAACTAGAAATCAATAATAGAAAGATATCTGGAAAGCTACTAAATATTTGGACATGAAGCAACACACTTTTAAATATTCCATGGGTCAAAGAAAAAATCATAAGGGAACTTAGAAAATTTTTGAATCGAATAACAACAATGTTAAACATAAGACAGTGAAATCGCAAGAGAAAAATGATCTGGTGAAATGCAAGGGTCCATTTCCAATGGTGGAGCAGGAATAAGTTGACATGGGCCTGGATAAGGGGTGGAGAGGGTAACAGAGGTTGGAACTCAGACAGGAGGAAGAGAAAGGAGGAGTTCAAAGGGCCTCCAGAAATAAATGACAGTCTGAACATTGTTTTGAAAATAACTAGCCATCTGTGATCACCTTGCTGATCACAAATACCTTATTCAGCCACCAAACGCCCTCTCCCCAAAGTGAAGCAGTTTGTATATCATGCCTGTGTATGTGGACAAACATTGCACCTTTGTGGACAGGAAAACAAGTACCTAAGAGAAGCTATGCAGCAAGTACAGTGGAGGTTGTTCTGTAAATGTAATGAATACACTGTGTAAGCCAATTGTTTTGCCCTAGGGAATATGTATGGCCTTGGTCCTTATTCATCTCTGTTTTTGTGTGTGCTTGCACACATCCCATTTTTTTTTGCCTACTTTTTTCCCACGAAACTCTGTAACTCTCTATTTAGAAAGTCTTCCACTGCCAGCTAAACACCATTCACACTTCTCACAAGCTACCTTCTGTCTCTTAGACATAAAGACTCACATGACATATCCTTAAGTGAATGGCATCTCTTCCTCTAAGTTGCTGTGGAATTCTTATGCCACATTCCTACTAGTTTTTCCCACCCTTGGGGGCAGAGACTGTCTACATTGTCTCAGAGATTACTCATAGCACTTCGCTAATAGTTAGGTGCTCAATATCAGTTGAGGACTGAAAAAAGAGAGGACTGAAGAAAGAAACAGTGGATACAGGAAAGGGAAAGAAAAAAGAAGGAAAGAAGCATTTTTTTCTTAAGTTGTTTAAAAAAAAAAAGTGATGGCAATGTGGAATCTTAAAGAAAAATAAAGCTCTTATTAACATAACTCACAGCCTTACATAGACTCACTATTATCAAGAGTCCCTAGAAGGAATTTCTGTGTAGAATACCTTTTAAAGCAATGTGCTCTACTTCTTTTGATTTACCCACAGCACTCGACACACAGAAAACATTTAGTAAATGCTTCCTGAATGAAAGGCAAAATACTAGGGGAAGGTACATCCCAGTGAATACATAAGTCTCTGGCCTAAAGTCTGAAAGCCTGCTTGTCATGCAACTTGACAGTGTACAATTCATCCTCTCAGTGCTTTCTCATTTGGAAAATGTCAATACTGTGACCCATTCGATTTCAACTGTCTAGATTTTCCTTGAGGTCTACAAAGACCTTAGAACATCATAGAGGAGAATTAAAATGCACCATTAGTGATAGTCAACACTGAGAGCTCAACACATAAATAATAACTTACAGTGATTCCATCCAGTCCAGGCAGCCCAGGATCCCCCTGAGAAACAAAGGCAGGACACTGAAGAGTTCAATAAATTAAGCCTGCAATATTTCAGATAATTAACCTAACATTCATAGGGACAAAAACACATCTCTGAACCTTGGGCCTCCTCTGTCAAAGTCTTGTGTTTTAAATAATGTATGAATTGGACATACTGGACTGTTTAGATTGTTTACTTTTTTCTGTAAGAAAAATCTGGACTGTAGAAGACACATATTATAGCCTTGGCTGAACAGGATTTCACATTTTACTTGGATTAATTAATTTTCACCTTTGCTAGGAACTTAACAATTAGAGACTACTTCTGTAGGCTGGTGATTTTCCTACTCCTTTTGGAGGAAAGCAAAGCTACCTTCCCGTGTGCCTTCATCCCCAAAGATTCTGTGCCCATGTGTATACAATGCAAATCAGGCATTTCAAGGGAAAATCAACAGAGCATACAGTCTCTGATTACGTTTTAATTACTTTGCTGCATCTTTAGTTACTGCATGAATCAGTAATATAACCATCTTGTGAAAATTGTTGTGTTCCACTGGATCCAGGGTCTCTGATTTTTGGCAAAACCATTTAATCAATGTTTTCTAAGACAATGACCAAATTTTGACACCTGCTAGTCTTACTCCACTTGGCTTACAGTAAAAAATCAGCTCTCTGTTGCATGGAAAGAGCACTGCCTGAGTTTTAGCTCTTTGGTGAACTGGCTTTGAGCAAGTCACATAGCCTCAGTACACCTCAGTTCTTCTATCTGTAAAATGAGCGATACCAATACAAGTCTGACAATCATGAGGTCCTTTCCAACTCAAACATTCTATTATGGCATCTATAGTTAGAAGCCCATACCCTAAATCTTGTCTGGCTCTCCAGCCACCCACCCCCATCACTGCCTTCCAAAGTGATTGCCAATGTTCCAGGCTCTATGCACTAATGGAAGACAGAAAAGTGCCATCAATTAGCTGAGTGAGCTTGGTGCATCTTCTCCTCAGATGTTGGGCACATAAACTTTCGTTTGCTACCAGGGAAATGATGGACTCCTGTCCTGCTCTGCAAGGAAATAGGGCCAAACATTTGAAGCCAGGGTTTACTTAGGACCCACAGGATATCAGGCAATACAGTCACAAGAACACAGAAGGTTCTTGTCAATTCTGGAAAGAGATGAAAGTATCCAGCCAGCTGCAGGGCTGATGGGCAATTTTTGCAGACATCCAGGTGCCCAGCTAGGGTGATGGGTTGGTGTGAAGCAACAGAGAAGGGCAGAACCAGGATCTTTGGCTAATGGCCATGTTGAGATGGGCAGAGATATACATGGCTTCAAACCAAGGTATACAGACAAGGATTCTACAGTAGACAAAAGGTATCTGCCTGAAGGAAATGTCTTGGTTTGTGAAATAAAATGATACCCATGCAAACTGTTTGTTTGCTGATCTGTCTCCTATTTTTGGTCTAGATCCTGCAGAGCAAATCTCTTTGACAGTATAGTTGCAAACATTTATGTCAATGTTTCCACCACAAAAAGCTCCAGATCCTTTTAAATCCATCTTGGTCTGCTCCTTAAATAGAGACACAGATGCTAGTTCTGGAAATGTTTTCACTGGAGGTGGGGCCCAATGCTGGGGAACCCAGCTTATAGCCTACTCAGCTACCTGCCTTGCAGGCTCTTACCTTCATTCCTTTGAAACTACCTGGAGCAAGGACAGGGTCACCTTTTGATCCTTTCTGACCAGGAAGCCCCTGAGTAAAATAGTTAAAAAAATTGAAGAAATACACACACTTATAGTCTTTTTAATTGCATTATCTGATCAGATAAAGGATGGGACAGCAAGAGCCTAAAACCATGTCACTTTTTCTGTGGCAAAATTGGCTGTACTAAGGGGCAAAACACGTTCCTTGACCAGGTGCTCTGATTCAGAGCTGTATGCCCTCCCAATCCCCAAGCCAGAAGTCTGTAAAGGGAAGGGGTTTGAATGGGTCTGAAATGTGTTAAAGTCAGATCCTTTACATCTATTCAGAGTACTGATCTGAACAACCACAAATAACTCATATAATGGAGAGTTCACTGCTTCACCCCTCACAGGTATAGGTCACTGACAGAACCTTTGTCTAGGACAGAGGTTAGTAAAATTTCATGAAAAGAACCAGACAGTAAATAATTTAGGCTTTTTGGGTCACATCTAAACTCTGTTTTACACTCTTCTTCTTCTTTCTTTCTTTCTTTTTATTTTATTTTATTTTTTTAAAAAGCAGGCCACAAGCCAAAGGCCATGTGGGCCAGTTTGTAGACCTCCGGTCTAAAAGATATCTACAAAAATACCTTCAGCCTGTACTTCTACCACACAACTTCAGATTCAAAGCCTGTCTAAGAGGCTGGTGTATCTTACTGCTAACATGAAAAATGGTTCAAAGTACACAATTCCAATCTTTCAACTAGATTTTTTGCTGTCTTAGTGCAGATGCTGGCTAATATCTGCTAGAGTTTGTACACCTGGGGATAATCAATGTCCCTACACCTAAGGGAAGTCAGGATTTGTATTTGGGGTAGGGCTAAGCTTTGTGGACTGAAGCATTTATTGATTGATTGATTCCTTCAGCACAAGGATTATTGGTGTAATAAAACAATAACACGATCCCAGAAGCAGAAATCGGTTTTTTTTCCTAACACTGCCTGTTTCACCTTATTCTTGTGGCCACTACTCTCCTGAAAGAAGCTTCAAAAAAGCCTACTGAATGATCTGTTCGGTATTCAGCAAAGGATATGTCTCAGCTTAGTAAAATACATGTCCAAGTTCCTATTTAGGTTTGAGGTTAAGTTTAGAGACAGGACTAGGTTTTTACCTTTGTCCTTTGTCAGAGGGTATTCATTACCTCAACATTTATTTTCTCCCTCTAGGGGGCAGCATGTCCTTGCTTTGCTGGATTTTCATGGAAATGTTTTATTCTATACCTGGTTGCCATGGCAATCTTTGGAGAACTTTGCGACTCACTTAACTCATCCTATGTTAGCAATACATCTTTCCTTACCTCCCCACCCCCCGGCATACTGGTTTAGTTTTTAGGTGTCAAAGTCCTATATGCCAATCTGGGGCTTGTGCTTTGTCCATCTATCTCATTTTCTCACACATATACCCACACCCCAACCTGGCCACTGAAGGTGGTGGTGCTGCTCTTCTAATGAAGTGTCAATTAATTCACGTATCTATAAAACATATCTAATGAATGGTGTGATTTCTAGTTAAATATCTCAAATGAGTGCCCTCATGAATTTAGATTATTTCAAGGGAGGTTGAGAATGGGTCTGAAATGTGTTATTTTTCTCTTTCCAGCCACTTGTAAAATCAGTCGGGAAGGGCATTGTATTTACTAGAGATCCCTTAGATCAAAATATCTGAGCCCTATCTGGATGAATGGAATTAAATAAAAGTGGTGACACTGGGATCCAATAAATACCTTATCAATACCATAACCAAGGGTTATGATGTGTGAGTGTAGCCACAAACTCTGTTACTATAGAGTAGGGTTTCTCAACCTCAGCATTATTGACACTTTGAACCAAATGATTCCTAGATGTTGAGGAGGGGGCTGTCTTGTGCCAGTAGCACACCACCAGTTGTGAGGCCTCAGAATATCAATAGCAATTGCCAAATGTCCCCTGAGTGGCAAAAATCACCCCTGGTTAAAAACCACTGGTATAGACCAAGCTAGCAAGCCCTTCGGGTTTTGGTTAGTGCTTCTGTGATCCCATATAAGTCTTCCAAACATTCCTCAATATTGTCTGATGTGGGACCATGTTAAATAGCCCAAGTGTGTTATTTTGCCATGAAATTTACTACAGCCTTTTAACAATCTTGCCAACTTCACAAGCTACATTAAAAAAAAGGCAACCCTAAGCAGTGTAGCATGTGCACACCCCAATGCAACTGGTATTCTTCTTTAGACTTTTACTGTTGTGGTGCTGCCAGTATTGACTCCTACATTTGACAAGGGTCTGTAGTGGCTGCCCCACAAAATCTTAATGAGGTTTCCAGAGAGGCAGAAAAAGGGCACACTTAGAGACAAGCAAAGCCATTTGAAATAAAATGCAAATATCTGGCAGCATACAGGTGGTCCGAGAAGCCCAGGATAGCCATGAGGGCCTGGAAATCCGACAGCTCCTTGAGTTCCATTACAGCCATCCAGACCAGGTGGGCCTCTGGGGCCCGGCTGTCCAGGATGGCCCTGTTCAAAGAGAAAAGAAGGGATCAAGTTAGCCACAGGACTGTCAGCTACTCTAAATGGCTCCACAGCGAGAAAAGCCAAGCATGCTATTAAACTCTGGCTCCTTGATCACTACCTTAGATCCATCATGTATGTTTGCACGTCTTTCCTTTATACTCAAGCATATGTGTCTAATCACAGTTCAATGTTGTCCCTCCCAAAAGGATGAATGCTTTAATAGGGACCAAGCTGAAACCAAAGGGATCAAGCATGAACAGATGGGATACACAAGGTCTTGCAACTTTACCTTTCTTGTATACAAACATGTGCTAAAATTGGGCTTAGCTGTCTGGCAGCTGAAATGATATGAACACGGAATCATGCCAGGCCTTAGGATTCCTCAGGCCAGACAGACCCTGAGCAGCCTGGCATGACATTCAGTATTGGAAGCTCTGCACGGGAAATGATGCTGGATTTTGGTTAATAGAGCAGAAGCAGTTCCCACAGCACCCCCTCTCCTGAAAGTTGCTTGGTCCAAAATAAGCAAGTCCTGCAAGAATCACATTTTCAATCTCATTTCATCATGCACACACATCAGGCTACTGCTTCAGTTCAAAAACTGTATGTTTTCCTCTTCTCCGTACTAACTACTGAGGCAGTTATTTTGCTTGGGAATTAGTAATCATTCTCATACAGTTCATCTGAATTCAATAATTTTCTAGAGTTGGGCTTCCTTGGTACATAGAGTCTACCCTTTTGTAGGTAATATATCTTTTTTAATCCATCGAAAGCCAATTGTGTGTTGGGCATGGAGCAAAGAGATGATCAGAAAGATCAGAAATGCAGACAGGTCAAGAAAAGGTAGATTTCCCCCCTGCCAACGCAAACACTTTAAAAGCCAAGTATATACATTTGATGATTTGAGGGAAACATGCTATATGTTCAAAAATGAACTTTTCAAATTATTAGAGGAAACAACTTTTAATCAAATTCTTATAGAGGAAATATTCTATAGAATTCTGTTTCATTTTCATTGTTATTATAGTTGTAAGAGCTAGACACACTGTTAATACAAAAGTATGAGTCTAGACAACCGGACTCATGGAATGCTAAGTCCAGAGGAATGCTCAATAACTTGTCTTTACAACAAAGTTGCTGCTATCTGTGCCTCTGCAGACTCAGGTGATGATTTTTAGTTGCATTGGGGAAGCTGATACAGCTTACTAAAGTTTGCAACTTTTTATTATTAATTGGGATGGTTACTCTTGTTTGCCCTGACGATCTACACTCTATCTCCCTCAGATCTGTGTCCTGGGAGCCTGGCCTCTATGGACTGTACCACCTAGGCTCCCTTTCCCTCTGTCTTCCAGTTGTATTTGGCCACTGGGAGACACAGACTGGAGATATCAAAGCAGGAAGAGAAAAGACACAGGTTATTTATTTCCCCCATGCCCTCCCTCCCTGGCTATATTCCAAGGAAATGGACAAATTTTTCCATAGTCTTAGTTCCTGTTCGGCAACAGCTATTTCATGGTTCCAGATCTCACTGGATTCCAATAATTACCATTCCATTTTTTTCCCTTTCAGGTCTAGGGGTAGCTTTGAGTTAGTCATTCCACCATCCATTATTGTTTCCCCTAATCTTTTCCACATCTGTTAAATATACCCTTCATTCAACTCTATTCAGTTAAACCCTTCAGGTGAAATGTCTATCTCTGGCTGGGATCCTGATCGCCACTATTATAAAATGTCCCAGCCAAACTTGCTAGGGGTTACCTCTCAGCTAGGTTACAGGGATAAATTGAGGCAAAACGACAGGCTGGCTAAGTACCAGGAGTCTTCCTTACTCCTGAGCCCTTGTTTCTGTTTCACACCAAAACCTTTGTCTGGATTCTTAACCTTTGGTATCCACATCTTTTACTTAGGCCTTATCTTTTTCTAGTTTTCTTGCCTGAACTCCTGATATTTCCTACCTGTAGGATTTCAGGGATACCTGTTTGCACTTTCCTACCTTAGCTGAATTCTCTGGAAATAAATCTCTGACCTCTGACTCAGATCTATCAGCGCCTTTTCACCCAGCTGATGCCAAGAAATGGGTAGACAAGGCATGTTTTGAGCCAGTTAGACTTGTGGCTCCAATCCCACTGTTTCCCTTCTCCAACTTGAGCCTCAGATCCCTTAACTGTCAAATGGTGATGAATAATACCTACCTTATAGAGTCATTGCCAGCATTAAAAGTGAATAATGCCTATTCCATTGGGTTATGGTTAAAATAAGTGAGACTAGGTTTACTAAGTAGGAGCTCAATAAACAATCTTCTCTTGGTCAAGTCAGCAAGGGTAAACCACAGGACTGAGCTCTACCTCCTCTCAGTTCTCAGAACCACAGAATTTCTGGCACATTGCCCTTTATTCTTATAGCTAATGATTTTACATATGTGTGTGCCAACCCTCCAAGAGTGTATAGCTCTTTGAGGGAGGAAACCATAGTTCTGTATTGCCTCAAGGGACTGAGCACATGGAACAGGAGGATCTGTTGTATTCCAGAAAAGCCAAAACAATGTTCCTCAGAATCCAGTTTCAAAGGAAAAGTTTCCATTTGGTGAGTGGTATGTGTTCACTTTGAGGATATAAATCTCATGTGCTCATTTACAAGTCTCCAGGCAGGGAACTAGAGATTTGGGATTGACTCCATGGGGAAAGCTAAACATAAATTGTAAAGTGAAAATCTCTGCTCCCAACTGCTTTGAACTGAAAACATTTGATAAACACACATCTCCTGTGGATGCCAACAGGCCCAACTCACAGCTGGGATATCATTAAAAGTCACAGCCCTACTGTCCCTAGTCTATGTTGTTCTAATGTTGACGATTTTAGGAATGCTTGTTTGCTCACTCTCTAGCTTAGTTGCTGTGCCCTTTAGTGCAAAGACTTAGGTTATCATGAAGTGATGACTAACCCACTCATGTTGAAATTGTCTACATGACAGCAAAAATGGAGTTTTGAGACCAAAACTAGTGACACATATGTTAACAATCAGCTAATATTAAGAAGGGAAGCAGATCTGTGCAGTGATCCAGTTTAGTAACATGTGTTAGGAAAGCTGTTGGTTTCAGCCAAATTGCTTAATATGTGTTACTGAAAGTAGAACAAAATAATCAGTCTGACTAGGCCTATGGTGTCTGTGTTTTTCTGTCTGAGGGAGCCCTGACAGTCTAAGAACTATTGCTAGGCACTAGAGGTTGGAGTCAACCTCCCCTGCAATACCTTTAGAGTGTTTACTCTATGCAGAGTTCAGTCATGGGCCTCTCAGGCTTCTGAGAGGAACAGAAGATATAATCTCTGTTTTCTAGGAGCTGGATGAGACTAGCACAAAAAAACTATCTATCATTAAGTCCCCTGGGGCTGTAGGTAGTGAGGCGCTGGAGTATTTGAGACAGGTACCAATGACTCCTGGGAGATTAGAGGTGGAAGGAAGAGGTAAGCACTGAACAGAAGATGTTTAACAAATATTTCTTGAGAGGCTGCAAGAGAGAGAAACAACAAGAAAGTGGGATTTTATGGAGTAATGAGGTTTGAAGCCTGCAGCTAGGGCAATCAGAAGTCAAAAGAAAACACAATTTTTGGTCAAGGAAAGGAAATATCGGGAGTTCGGGCAAGAAAATTAGAAAAGGATAAGGCCTAAGTAAAAGATGTGGATACCCCACAAGGGAGTGGGGACTTCTACTGGGAGCGGTAAGCTCATTTAGAGGGGTCTGAACAGCTGCAACTCATTCTGCCAAGCAATGAAGCCTTGAAGAGAAGTGATCCATTCCTGCAAGCTCTAGGGCTCTCTTAGCGACAGGCTGGAGGCAAGAGTATCCAGCTGGACTCTGGGGCAGTTTCCAGCTCAGAATTGGAAACAGCCTTAGCCTCCAGGATTCACTTCCTTCCAGCTCCCATTAAAACAAGACTGCAGGAGGAAGGGCATACTAAGACGGTAAGCTCCAAGTCCTCCACTCATCTCTGGCAAAGCCAGGTCCACAGAATGAATGAAAGAGGCTGCCTCCAGTTTGCTAGTTTCCCTTATCCAGTGGCTCCCAGAAGATACACATTCTGGGCGGAGACTCTGGCTAAAGGGGCCATAGGAACACAGCCAAAAGAAAATGCCAGGAGACATCATAAAAGGATGGCCAACCTCGTCTGCTTATTTTCCCAATGGTCTATTTCTGGGCACTTTGCAGACACTGCAGTTGAATAAAATGCTGAAGTCTGATGGCTGACTTGTTGATACATGCAACAGATATGAGGTAAGTGAGCCTTCAGTTTTTCAAATTCATAAATGTCTACTAGATCAGAGGAGACAATGAATCAGATGATATTATCTTTCAGGGCAGAGCCACATGATTCCTCTGTATCCCCAAGGTTGAGTGCTAACATATAGCAGGAGCACATTAAATATCTACAGATTGGCGAAAAAAGATTTGAACCCCTTTTCCTGATACTAGATTATTATCGAGGATAACACAAAAGCTGTTAATCATAGGGTCTCCAAAAACCATGCTTTGATAAGGTTCAGAACAACCTCTGAGAGGCTGTTGGAAAGATAAAAGCAGGCTTTAGGACCTCCCACAAATGGAGGAGCTGCACTTTTTTTTTTTTTTTCTGTTCTATATGTTGAGATTCTGTTCTTCTCTTAAACAAGACTGAAAACTGCTGCTGTAGACAAACATAGCCCAGACTATGGCTTAAATATATAGAGATGTGTCAAAGGGAAAAACTGAAAAAAGACAGCCAGTAAGTTCCAAATATTGTATTTTAAAGGCTGGTGCAATGTTACCGTGGAATCACCAGCGGTGGGATAGGCGCAGATATAGGACGAAAATAGAGAAACTAAGATATTAGGCTGGATGGATGGAAAAAAGAATTGTCTGCAAGTTCCAAACCTTCCACTTATCTTGGGCAGAGCAGAGGTCCACAGGATAAATTTTGCAAGAGGCTGCCTCCAAGTGATCTTTGGAGTAGTCACTTTGTAAAAACTTTAAAGGAAAATTCACTCTGAAATGAGGTAAGGCTGAAGAGAACAAATTATGAAATGGAAGGTATCAAGATATCATGACGGATTTTATCTTCTAATTTCATGTATCATCTTAATTTCCCTATATAAGGATATATATGCTCTAATGTGGCTCTGTCTTTACACCTTAGAACCAGTTCCTCATCTCCAATCAAAGCTCCGCTCAACCCACAAGACTTAACTCGTGTTGTCTAAGATATTGATGTTATGGCTACACAGGTCCCTCCACTCTCCAATCATGCAACACAGGGCTGCTTGTGCCCGAATCCAAGGGCAATTGTGTGTGACCACTGCCCTTTAAACCTCACCACACATATCTCAACCCTTGTTCCTGAGCATGCTTGCATGAGACAGGACGTTGCTGAGGTCAAAGTGTCTGAAATATGAGGCAGAACCTAAAGGAGGATATGAAAAATTCATCTGTGGACACACTCACCGGAATCCCATTGATGCCAAGAAATCCAGGAACTCCCATGGGACCCTAAAAAAAGGAGTAGGGAGAGGAATGTAAGACACAATCCAACTGGTATTTGTTAGACTCAGTAGGTTTGTTTATGAGAGTCAATGGCCTACATTTTTAAGAAGTGTTTCATATCTCCCTCCCCATACTGTATACCCTTGATTCCCACTGCAGTTCCAAGTGACCATTTACCTTTATCTAAGGCCTTAGACAGGTCTTTGTTCCAAAACCAGCTCTTTTTTTTTTTTTAAGGGAGTATAGTCTAGGTTTAAAAATTATAGGCTCACTATTACCTGCTGCCATCTGGGGAAAACTAGAGGACCTTGAATGACCTAATCACAAGTTTCCCTCGCCATTATGCTTCTACAGATAAGGTCCCCTAGCCGAACAACTTTCCTTATCAAGTGGACCAGGTGCAACTCCTGCTTATCCTGGAATAGCAGTTTCAATTTCTCGCTGGCCTAGTGGACTATTCAAACAAGCCAATTGCATCCACCTTCAGGAACCAGGGGCACCCTACCCTACTGATACTACAAAGTCTGCTTCACACAGCCTTTTCTTCTAAACTCTGTTCCCAAGTGCTATCCCTGTGTGGCCCTATGTGGTATGTGGCATCCTCTTCCCCTGAGCTGTGAGTATATGTGACTAACAAATTGCTGTCAATTTCATCTGTCCAGTGTCAGGTGTCATATCTTTAGTCATCCCCATGATCCTAGTGAGGGAATCCTTCCCTCACCAACGGGGTGAATAGAAGGTGATTAAAGTAGGCAGGGAACATAAACTGAGCTGCTGAACAGTCAGCCTGCCACCATGACATTATCACTCTCGTTTCTTGCAGCTCTTTCCCTATATTTGTGGCCTAGATTGCTTCTAAGCACTCTGACCCCTTTCTTCCCAGTATCCTTGCTCGGATTCCTGATCTCGGCTGCCCAGGTGATTGGACTTCTGGCCCATGTACAGTTCAAACCCACCTGACTTCTTACCACAGTGAGCCCACTTGTTTAGCAAGCAGCTAATACATTTACTTTATGGTGTGCTTGCTATGGGAGTCCTTCCACAAGTGGGCTGAATCATTGGCAGGCCATCACTCATCCCATCTCTTATTAAAATATGCAGCCTGGGTGGGGCGCGGTGGCTCATGACTGTAATCCCAGCACTTTGGGAGGCTGAGGGTGGATCACAAGGTCAGGAGTTCAAGACCAGCCTGGCCAACATGGTGAAAATCTATCTCTACTGAAAATACAAAAATTAGCTGGGCATGGTGGCAGGCACCTGCAATCCCAGCTACTTGGAAGGCAGAGACAGGAGAATCGTTTCAATCCAAGAAGCAGAGGTTGCAGTGAGCCGAGATCACACCATTGTACTCCAGCCTGGGCAACAGGGTGAGACTCCATCTCAAAAAAAAAAAAAAAAAAAAAGCAGAAATGCAGCCTGGCACGAAACTACTCAGGAATGACATCATAAATGAGCAGAACTGGGATGGAGAACTTCTGATCTTTACATTTGTGGCCCATGCATCAAAGAGAAATCAAGCTTTGCTGGTCTTACCTTATCTCCTTTGGGTCCATAAGGTCCCAGAAGGCCTGGGGAACCCCTTTCTCCTTTCAATCCCGATAAACCAGTAGAGCCAGTGAATCCTTGAGGACCTGATGGGCCTTGAATTCCAATTGGTCCAGGTCGCCCCTAAGGTGGACAGAAGGAGTGCAATTAGTCAATAGAGGACTTAGCATTAATACTTCTCATTTTCCCACACACAAAGAGCACTGTCATCACTTCACCGAATAATTTTGGCTAAGGGATCTGTGAGGCACGCCAAAGTTCCAGACACGGATCAGAAAAGGCTATTTTAGGGGCTGCTAAGCTTATTTGGATAGAACACATTTTATAAGCACATTTAATAAGATTCATGTGCACCAAGATCCTTCAACTTTGTACTTCTTAGGAAATTAGTTATTCAGGCTGGATAATATTGTCCTCTTCCTAGTTAATGCCAGGCCATCCATCAGATTGTCAAAATAGTGAAAGAACAGAACGCTGGAGAGCATCACGACATTTTATAACTCACATCCAAATGGTCAACCATGTGCTTGCAGTGAAATCCAGAAATGGCTGTATCTAGAGAACATTGCCCCAGGGGGCCAGAGTGGGCCCAGAAACTTACAAGCTGACAAACCTGCAAGAGCTCATCTTTGTTGGCAGATCCCAGGACTCCATCACTGCACCTAGTAGCAGACATTCACAGGGAAAACACACATACACGTGCACATATACACACATGAATTGCTTAGGTGTTCTTTCTTCCTATCCCTCTCTCCTCTCCTCTCCAATCTGTAAAGTGTCGAATGTGTAAAATACAAGAAGGCTGAGAATATCTATTAAGTATCAATTATGACAGCAAGAGGGAACAGCCTGAGGATTTTAAATGCCCTGCTTATAAAATGTCTGTAACAATTAAGTCTGAGAGTTCAGGCTGACATTTTAAAGTGGACTCAGACTGAGCATTAACCCCAGTGGGTGCAACATAGGCAGGCTGGTCTATCATTTAGAACAAATCCCAGTAGGAACTGAATTGTCTTGGCAGAAGAATGAAAACCATTAGTAATATGCATTACCTCTCAGAGAACACAACACCGTATCAGGTAGAAAGTCCATTTTCATAAATGCTTCCCATCTCCACCTCTTGGCCCCTTTACTGACTGTCCATAATTTCCTACAAATCTGTGAAAAACTTTGAAAAGCCCATTAAGCACGCCCTTTACTGTTCACCTTCAAGGTTTACTTTTTTAAAGGCTGAAAATGGGACAGATGCTTTATGCTGTGGCTACAGTTAAGTACTGGAGATGCAAGTGGCCACCAGCTGTGACGATCCTTTGGAGTATAATTTTGAGTGTCAATCAGGCCCACGAAGACCTACGACCCTCGCAAGGAAGTAAAAGACGCTCTGTCCAAGGAAATGCAGTTCTCTTGGGCACCACCTACCACTCAACCTTTTCCAATATCCAACATGTGGCCTACAAAAAATGATAGCTTGCAAACTGTTTAACAGGCTTCATTCTGGGAATGATGGGGGTGGAGTAAACTTTCACTTTTTAGGTTCCTACCTCCCATTGTTGGAACTTTGTTTACAGTGGTTCTGTTATTTATTATTATTGGGATTTTCATAAAATCAATAAATATGTGTGTATATGTGTATATGTGTGTATAATACATATTAATAATATAAAAAGAAAAAGAGCAGTACTTAAAAAATAGTGCTGGGGTGCTGTTGACAATGAGTAGGAGGTCAAAAGTGTGGGCCTACATTAATGATAGACTGGATAAAGAAAATGTGGCACATATATACCATGAAATACTATGCAGCTGTAAGAAAAATGAGTTCATGTCCTTTACAGGGACATGGATGAAGCTGGAAACGATCATTCTCAGAAAACTAACACGGGAATAGAAAACCAAACACTGCATGTTCTCACTCATAAATGGGAGTTGAACAATGACAACATATGGGCACAGGGAGGGGAACATCACACATGGGGGCCTGTTGGGGGGTGGCGGGCAAGGGGAGGGATAGCACTGGGAGAAATACCTAATGTAGATGATGGGTTGGTGGGTGCAACAAACCACCATGGTACACGTATACCTACGTAACAAACCTGCACGTCCTGCACATGTATCCCAGAACTGAAAGTATAATTAAAAAAAAAAAAAAAGAAAGAAAATGTGGGCCTAGTTTCAAGACTAATGCATACAAAATCACAGCAAACAGTACAAATTTGGAACAGAGCCTAAGTGCTGCGGGAACACAAAAAAAGAGTTGGCAATGGAGGGTTTGTGGAATGCTCACATTTTGCCCATGGCTGGGGGAAGTCATGGGCTGCATTGGAAAGGTTGACTGGAAAGGTTCCTGCTGAAGTGGGCCTGGAAAGTACTGCAGAAAAGTTGAAGACTTCATGTGGCAGGACACAGGGAACCCTCAGAGGTTTGGGAACAGGGAGATTTGGGAGAAGAGCGGTCTTTCATGGCTGAAAGTCATCAAGGAGCATTCAGGAGAACACGTGTATGTCAGAATGAGACCATGGCTGCCTGCCTGAGGCTGGGACAAGGGAGGCAGATAAGAACCAGCTGTTGAGGAGGAGGGAACTGCTTGATAGGAGAATGGAGGGCGGATGGGCTTGCAGAGGCCATGTTATTACTAGCAGAGAGGATCCAGTCAGGGCACTGAATGCTTGACCCAAATCCAAGCCCTGCCAAAAGTTTTCCCACATCAAGGGAAGGAAGGGAAATCACTGAACAGCTACTGAGAGAGCAGGTTGTGATGTGGCCCAGTCCCATCCTGCTCACACCATTAGAGAGAAGAGTCCCAGCAGCACCCAGCATAGGCACAGGGACTGGCACCCTGTGTCCCTTACCTTTGCAAGCACATGGTAAGCAAGGGTAAACAAGGAGACTTAGGAGGTAGGCACCTCGAGGGCTAGACTTAACTGGAACGCCGATTCCATGCAGAAAAGGCAGGGTCCCACAGCCTGCTTCTTTACTCCTGGCTTGGTGGGCATGCAGAATTTCTTGACACCTGTGTTCCACCCAGAGAGCTGAAAGGAACTCTCCTAAAGAACTCACATATATTTTTAAAATTCCAATTCTTTTTCCAAATGGGAGTTTGAAAAGGCACCACCAGAGGAACGTGCACTTCTGGACTGGCCCCAGGTTCCGGCTTGGGTTGGTGGGCGTGCCAGCAGCCCAGCTTGAAACCTCTCACATTGAATCAAGGGCCAGAAGCAGGGCCTGTGGGAAGTTTCTAGGTTTCTGCTCGTCCAGAACTGTTTCCTCAGCATGGTGTGAGGCCCTTATGGAGCCTGCAGTCATAGGATATGAGACAAAAAGCCTTCCCATCCATGGATGTCCTTTCATACAGTGGCACAGAACACCGGAAACAAATGAAAGTGACTGAGAAAAAAAAGAGGGAGACCCATTTCTTCTGCGGGTTGTTTTGTCATCCAGATACGCTTACTTTGTGCTTATAACTGTATGATCTTTTTTCCTCATCTCTAATGCACAGGATTTCTGCCTCATTACCCATACAGCTAAAGCTTAATATTAACTAAATCAGTGGTGAATTCCTTTCCTTTCCCATCCGACACTATAAGCGACATTTTTCATAATGGCCAGCAGAGGTCAGTGTGAGAACATAGAGACTACAGATAAGCAGGTGGGTGGGTGGGCCTCTCCCTCTACAGCGAAAAAGAAATCAAACCAGTGTCAGAGAAGTCACAGAATGTTCGAGCAGGAAAGGCCCTTAGAGACCATTCAATCCAGGCTTTATTTTATACATGGGGCGGGTGGGGGGGAAAAGGCCGAGAGAAGAGGAAGGGCTTGTTTAGGTCACATGGCTAGTAGGAACGGCATGGAACTAAACAGACTGCCTGCAGCCAGTATGTGGCTGTTTCCCTGTTTGCCAGTGGCAGATGTCTTAGGGGGTCCTTGAGGCTGCCCCTCCACTACCCTGGGTCCGCCCCTGGGACTGTCCCCATCAGTAGGCTGCAGCAGCCAGATGCTCACACATTATTTCTTTCTTCCTAACCCTGGTCATTTCACAGAACCAATCTGACACACCATCACTGTTTGGACAGCTAGCAGAATTTCAATGGGCTTGGACTAATGCCTTGCCCTGATACATGTCATTTATTTTGGCAAACAGACCCAGACAGGGCAGAAGGAACTCCTCCAAGTCTTTCCAATGAGCTCTCCTGCTTCCATCTGCTCAGGATTTTAAATATGCACATCAGGGTCTAATTCTCAAGGGAATGAGTTGGGACTTGTGCTTAAGGCCAGGAACTGCAGGTCTGCAACCACAGCCCAGGCTGGCTGCCTCCTGCCAACCACAGTGAGTTGGGATCAGTGTGCAGTTTAAGGTGACCTCTGATTAGACCCAGATAACTAGGGTAAAAGACCCAGAAATGGGGCTGCCTATAAAATAGTAGACATATGTAGAAATATCATCGACGAATCTTAAAAGCATATGCCTCACACTAGATTGGACAGTGAAACTGGTAAAGGAGGCTGACTTTTCATAAGTTAGTCCCTTTCTGCCTTTTTATACCTCCCTTAAGGTTCCAGTGTTATTCTCCCATAAAATTAACATTTGTTCCTGAGGAAGAATCTGAAACTCACTCGCACCGAGGCGTTAATGACTGACAACTTAGAGCTTTGCTTTTCCCAGGGGGATTTGTAAAGCAAAGCATTAAGTTAGGGGATGCAAATGGTATTTATGAAGCAGGGAAGGGAGAAGGGTGTGCACAGGCCTTCCTAAGGATCCAGTTGTATTGTAGAAGGTGGTACGGTGCTGTTAGGTACACTTTACGTGAAGTCTCCTTACTGCCAATTAACAGTTATGTGACCTTGGGCAAGGGACATTACCATCTTGAATATCAAGGGCTGAAGTGTAATAATAGCTCTTACCTAGGTTATTGTCAGCATTTAAATGAGTTAATACATATAAAACACCTGGCAGATAGAATGAAAGCATCAGTTCCCTTTTTCCTTTAGGCATCATTTATGGCAAAATGGAGAGTTTATAGGATTGGGCACTCAATGCTCCTTCCCTTAAGTTTCAGTTGGAGATGCACAGACATCATTGAGCAACCCTCTTTGGGGGCAGAGATGTGTGCTTGGGAATAGATGAGCATGTA